TTGAATTAATTCATAGTGACATTTGTGATTTTAAATCAATTCAAACTAGAGGTGGGAAAAAATATTTTATCACTTTTATAGATGACTATACTAGATATAGTTATTTTTATTTAATTCGAACCAAGGATGAAACTTTAGAAACTTTCATTCAATATAAGAATGAAGTTGAAAATCAACTTGGTAAGAAAATCAAGAAAGTGATAGAGGTAGTGAATATGAATTACCTTTTGGTGAATTTTGTAAAGAACATGGAATAATTCATCAAACCACTGCTCCTTACTCACCTCAGCAAAATGGAATTGCTGAAAGGAAAAATAGGACTTTACAGAAATGATGAATGCCATGTTAATAAGTTCTGAATTACCTCAGAACTTGTGGGGGAAGCAGTACTTTCTGCTAACTATATACTTAATAAAGTACCCCGAAAGAAAGTGAATCAAACACCTTATGAAATGTGGTTTGGAAAAGGACCATCTTACAAATACTTAAAAGTATGAGGGTGTTTGGCTAAAGTGGCTATTTCTAGTCCTAAAAAGACTAAGATAGGTCCTAAGACCATTGATTGCATTTTCATTGGTTATGCCAAGAATAGTAGTGCATATCGGTTTTTTATTCATAAATCAGAACATTCCGAAATGCATATAAATACTATTATTGAATCTCGGAATGCATCTTTCTTTGAACATGTATTTCCAAATAAGACTGGACAAGAGACTAGTAACAATAAAAGATCTCATGATGCTATTACTAGTCAGGATCAAGAACATGATCATGAACAAAAGTTAGATCAAAATGAGGAAGAGGAATTTAGGCGTAGTAAACGTGCTAGAACTTCAAAATCTTTTGGTCTAGATTTTCTAACATATCTGCTAGAAAATAAACCTTTAACTTTTAAAGAAGCTATGTCCAGTCCTGAGGCTCCTTTATGAAAAGAAGCTATCAATAGTGAAATTGAATCCATATTGCAAAATTACACTTAGGAATTGGTGGATTTGCCACCAGGTTGTAAACCTCTTAGGTACAAGTGGATTTTCAAAAGAAAATTGAAAGCGGATGGATCAATTGACAAATACTAGGCAAGACTTGTGGTCAAAGGTTTTAGACCAAAAAAATGTCTTGATTACTTTGACACATACTCAACGGTTACTAGAATAACATCCATTAGAATGCTAATTGTCATTGCATCTCTATACAATCTAGAAATTCATCAAATGGATGTGAAAACTACTTTCTTAAATGGTGAGTTAGATAAAAAAATTTACATGGAACAACCATAAGGTTTTCAATTCCAGGAAAAGAAAAGAAAGTGTGTAAATTGGTTAAATCATTATATGGTTTAAAACAAACACCAAAGCAATGGCATGAGAAATTTGACAAGGCAATGATGTCAAATAGATTTAAAATTAATGAGTGTGACAAATGTGTTTATATTAAAAACACAGACAAATGTTATGTCATTATATATCTTTATGTAGATGATATGCTCATCATAGGTAGTAATAATGACATGATTAAAACTACCAAAAAAATGTTGAATAAAAATTTTGACATGAAAGACATGGGCATTGCTGATGTAATTCTTAGTATGAAAATTACCAAAACATCAGAAGGATATGCTTTGTCACAATCTCATTATATTGAGAAAATACTTGACAAATTCAGCAAAGATGATGATCATCTTGCTAGAACACCTGTAGATGTTAATTTGTTTCTATCTAAGAATGTACAGGAAAGTATTTCTCAATTAGAGTATGCCCAAATTATTGGAAGCTTTGTGTACTTGATGAACTACACTCGCCTAGATATAGCTTATGCAGTAAGTAAATTAAGTAGATATATGAGTAATCCAGGAGTAGAACACTGGAAAACAATTATAAGGGTTCTTAGATATCTTCGATTTACTCGTAACATTGGGCTTAATTATACTAGATATCCAGCAGTACTTGAAGAATACTGTGATGCAAATTGGATATTGGATATTAGAGATTCAAAGTCCACCAGTGGGTATGTCCTTACTCTTGGTGGGGTGGTTGTATCTTGGAAATCTTCCAAACAGACTTGCATTGCTAGGTCTACTATGGAATCAGAGTTTATAGCTTTAGACAAAGCAGGGGAAGAGCAGAATGGCTTCGCCACTTCCTTGAAGATATTTCAATATGGCCAAAACGGGTGCCTACTATATGCATACATTGCGATAGTCAATCAGCAATAGGTAGAGCACAGAGTCATATGTATAACGGTAAGTCACGACACATTCGTCGTCGACATAACACCGTAAGGCAACTACTCTCTAATGAAATTATTTCCATTGAATATGTGAAGTCTAAAGGCAACATAGCGGATCCACTAACCAAAGGGTTAGCAAGAGAGTTAGTTAAGAATTCATCGAGGGGAATGGGACTTAAGCCTATAAAATAAGAGTTACCACAATGGCAACCCAACCTAATTGACTGGAGATCCCAAGATTTAGGTTTAAAGGGACAACCGAGTTGTGAATGACTCAGAAGGATCACTGGGGAGTCTCACTCCTACCCATTTCTAGGATGAAATAAGTGATGACTGCAACCGTTTAGGTTAAGTAATATTTTTAATGATTCTTATATCTAGCTAAACCTAGTGGAGTATGGAAGGATACTCTTCATAAGAATCACCTATGTGAGTGTGAACTGGGCCGGTTCTATGAGATTTGTGAAGGGCTACAATTCTCTAGAGCACTCATGAAAGACCAGGTTGTTCAGGGCCAAAATGAACACAATAGTAAGAACTAAACTGTGTCTGGAGATATACTGTGTGAGTTCTATTGTCTTGGTTTACACAAACAGCTGAACAGTTTAAGACATCATGTTCACTTGTTAGCTAGTAGATCCAATAGTGTCTCATGATGGAAGGTTCAAAGCCAAAAGCTACCTATCCTTTGTAGAATATTTCCAATTTGTGTACCCTCTGTATTTAGATCATGTTGTTACATTTTCTCTCCGTCAAATTCCATTCATGTGGGGAATTGTTGGAAATTTTGGTTTATAAGGCTTATTTTGGGCTAACTTTGAGCCCAAAATTGAGTGAGCCCCGAACGTCTTTTGGGGCGAGTCTGAAAAGGTGACGTGTTCTTTGTCGCGTGGCAAGTCACACGATAAAGACGGTTCGTCAAAACCATTTATGAGTGAATGAGAAGTTGACGTCGTTTTCGGGTTCGAGGAATAAACATTTAAAGATTTAAATATGGGTTTCCTTTTAATGGGTTGTCCCACATTAAAACTTTAAGAGAGCTTTTATGTGTATATAAGCTTTACCCTACAACACTTGGGTTGCGCCTCAAGGGGCACCCCAAGTTTGTAGAAGGGAGGAGTTATGGACAAAGTGAACCTTAGCCCAAACCACCACACGCGCGCTCCGCCGCCGTCCGTTTGGTCGAGCCGGGCCCAGGCACGGTTGTGGGTCGGGTCGGTTCTTGTATTAATTTTTCAGACGAAATTCATTTGAACTTTTTCAAAAATTATTGCGGGAAAATTTAATTTAATTCCAAAATTCAAATTTAAAATTTTTCTGTCCATGTTTGATGCCTTTTCTGTCCGAATTCTAAACTGTTTGAACAGTGTTATAACTACCCAACAGTTACACATCTGTAATGTAACTGCCGAACAGATTCAAAATCTGGACAAACTGGAGCAGTTAATCTGTTAGGCAGTTTGCAGATCTGTTTGATTTTCAAACAGCACCTGTTCAATTCAAAATCCCACCTGTTCACTTCAAATTAGCACCTATTCGGGTCAGATTTTTTGCCTATAAATTTAGACCATTTCCAACAGTCTTGGGCACCGAAAATCAGTTTGAAAATAATTCTTTTGCTATCCATACTTTTGTTTTTGGTGCATTATTCTTCATGTTAGTTTTAGAATAAATTTCAGAGAGTTAAAACACAAGTTTGGTTCATCGTTCAATTTGTTTTAGAGTGCTACTACAAATTAGTTAAAATTATTGTATTTTGGGAGATAGACGCCACATAACTGTAAGCACCGTAGCAGGGCGAATCTGTCTTAAGGACAGAGTGTCACACACTCGACTTGGTCTTTTATTTTTCGTTTGGTTCAACAAAATAAATTATATAAGTTTTTTATTTTATTTTGTTTGATTTAATTTTAATTTATTTTATTTACACAGAAGATTGTTCCAACACCTTTAAAGCTTGTGACACAAAGGGTCAATTTGTGAACATGGATAAAAGTCAAATTTTTACTTTTAATTTATTTTGGGTCATATGACTTCTTTATTTTTTACAAATTTTTTTTAAAAGAAATAAAAATTAAAAAATCCATTTTTAATCAACCTCCCAAAACAACTTAGAGGGAGAAAAAAAAAAAAAAACTTGGAATGTTTGCATATCTTTGTAAATTATTCAAAATGTTTGCATATCTTCTTCCAATCCAAAAAAGAAAAAAAAGAAAATAATCTGAATTTCTCAAACTAATTTTTCCATAGTTGCAACTGTTGTTTATCATGTTGCACAAAATCTACATCCAACAAATGTTTCACATAAAAAAGTGAACCGATGGATTTGACTTCGTTTAAAGTGGAATCTAGAAGAAAACAAAATATGCAAAGTTTTGACAACTTAAACCCATGTCATCTAAAATGCTAACCACAAGTCTTATTATTGGCCCGAGTCGGATTTAAAAGTTCGTTTGGCAAGTTGGTTTTGAAATTTTTTTGGATTAAAACAGTCATAAAAAATAAAATAGATTTTTTAACTCAATAAGACAAAATATGACATCCAATTCATAATCATTACATTCTTTCTCTCACAAAAAAATCAAAAAAGTCAAAAATCATTCCCAAATTAAGCTTTTTAGCCCCCAAGCTAAAATAATCAAATAAGTCAAAAAAATCAAAAAACCAACATTCCCAAACGAACCCTATGCAATCTTATTTTTCTACAACTTAGAACCCATATCATAAAAAATGCTAACCACAAACCTTACTGTGGGGCCGAGCAACTTTTCACATATAAAACAATGACCATTGCCAAGTGAGCTTTGTATTCTACACTGAAAAGTATTACATACATTACATTTGTCCATGATACAAGTTAAATATAAAAAACAAAATTTGCTACTTACATTTACTTATTCTAAATCCCATATATCGCCCTATAATCACAACAAAAGGAATCAAAACGTTTTGCCCCTATTCTGAAGAATTTCATAGAATTTCCCGTATCTTATTCCAAAAAAATCCCATTCCACCAACTTGCCCTAAAAATTGAGCTTCTCTTATGTTCAAGAACCGAAAACCTGACCAAAACCGTGCTTCCCCTGTGTCTGATCTCTCTCCAACAACATGTCAATTCTAAGAGCTTCAAAAAACTCAATTTCCACTCTCCTTCTCCTTTTCAAGTTGGCAAATAAATAAGATGCTCTTCACCAATCATGATGGTGCCAGAAATGTAGATGAATTCCACATGCGAACAGTCTCACGTTTTAAAAATAACGTGTAAAGTAGCTCATTCCATGCATTGGGGACTCCAGGAAGACACCAGTGGCTGCAGTCCTGCCTATGGAGTGGAGCAGGTCCCTCCTTGGGACCCAGATAGTATAGAGATGAATGCCCATCTTTTCTTCGTGAAGACATGATCGTAATGTTCAATATGTCTAATGTTTCTAACTTTGATGTGTTTGAGACAGATGATAATACATCAAGAAATATGCTGTATCGAGCCCAAGTTTGGGGTGGAACCAATGAGGAGCCTAGCTCGGGTAGTGTCTCCAAGTGGCAGCTTCCCCCGGTTCTCCAATCACCACCCCTGTATATTCCATGTCACATTTATTAAACAAAGCAAGCAGATTGTTAATTCAAAATGAAAGCAAGATATGCACAGATATGAGGATCTATGGCAAAATTAAAAAATATAATTTATTTTACACAATCACAATCACTAAGAATGACATGACAGTGGTCTTTTTGCAAATAAAAATACATCTTGATGTGTTTAAAGTTTTACAATGATAGGCCCACAACTTAACACAATTCAACACATCATTCTATATATATTTTTTGTTTGTATATCGCTACCCTAACAACAATAGATAAGAAAGTGCTATGGTGGTGTCCACCTCATATTCGTCCATATGATATGGAATTGTAGCCAGTGAAAACACCATTCAAGAACTAGATGGAAAGTAAATTAAGCTTGTGAAATTTGGTAGTTGAAACAATCCGGTCACAAGACCTAAAATCAAAATGCCAAGCAATGTATAGGGAAAATGGAAAATCAATCACATGCATATAGGTCGGATTGTATAGGTAAGAAATATGGATCTAGAGCTTGAACTTTTGTACATGAAAATATTATAAAAGATGCATGAAAAAAATGCTGAAGAATTTGATTATTCATTTTTTGGTTTCACTATCCATCCCCAGCCATAAAAATCAAGCAGTTTCATTGCCAAGGCCATATGATTAAGGTCATAGTCCAACAAAAGCCCAAATTCACATTTCAATGATCATTACTCCTTAGTTGGAAATCGACAGACTACTTTTAAATCAACAGATTTTGTTTGAGTTCAAGAGAGGAAATAAAATAGACAAATATAAAAACTAAATGAAAATATATTATAGAAACCAACCTGAAATGAACGGGGGAATATGTGCGGAAAAAAACCTGGGTCTTGCTTGTATTCACTTCACGGTGTATCCAGTCTATCACAGTATCTAAGGACTTCCTGTATGCATTGTCAACTTTCATCTCCATCTTCACCTCTGCTCCTTCTTGGAAGTAACAACCCCTGATCATCATGTATAAATCTTTAAGTCGGTATGCATTTTAAACTAACATAACCAGAGAGGCACATATTGCTTCCCCGTAAATGTGACGTGACTCTGTAATCCTTCCCAATAATTAAAATCTTTAATCTTCAACCCATTTCTTCATAGCAAGAGTACACACAAATATCATTACAATTTGAGTTATTTATAGATGAACAGACCTGTCAAATCATTTTTGAATAAAAACTTTGATTATCACTCTCCAATCATCATACTCTCAAGTTCAATGGGATTAACTTAATACATCAAAACACAATCTTAGCCAAAAGCATGGGCATTTTAGTCCTTTCCATACAGGGCCTTGCACTGAGAGATTAAACATATAAACCAAACCAAACCAAAATATTGCAAACTAAATCATGATAATAGATGCCCACTGGGCACAAGAGGACAAAATTTCAACTCAAAAGAAAGAAAGGGTATTTCTCCAAAGCAAGGCTGTTAAATTCACAATTTCTTATTATTCATATACCCTGAATGTCACATGGTCTAACTATATATCCAATTGCACTTCTAACAAATGTTCAAAGCTTCATCAATGCAGAGTCCATTACACATTCTCTAGTCTATCCGGAGGTGATTAATCATGCCTTGAGGCACTCACCAAAAGGATAGAATCATTTAGTATTGGGCCATAACCTACGTTATGTGTTATATGTTATATGAACTCTTCAAAATAAATCAAATATCCGTGTCAAACACTTGGACACTTGGATAAGGGTGTAAGATATGTGTCCGATACTTCCCATTGGAAACAACTTCTATAACACTTGTTATAAAATGAGTAAAATGCATTTTTGGCACTTTGTTACATAAAACATCATTTTATCCCACAAAATACATTAATTAATTAAAAAAAAAAATATGACCATTTTTTGCCAAGTCGGCTTACCATTGAATTTTTGGACATCATTGCCTATGGAAAAGTAGACATAAATTTGTGTTTTAGCCATTAGCCCATTCCCAAGGCACGATTCACATAATTCATAGAACTTGTAAAAACCGTCCAGTTGAAAAGTTCATGTTGGAAAAATATATGCAAATAAAGATGACAGGAAGTAGTTTCTAGAACATCGCATTACCCTCTTATGGTCTTCTCATAATTCCACCAATGCCCTGTGTTGAACACAAGCACATCCGCATCTCTCCACTGTGAAGAGCTCCAATCCATTTGATCTAATTTGAGGGTAGTTTTTATTTTTGGCAGAGATTTAGCAGGAGGTCGGCTCTGCAGTACAAGAAATGGGGCCCGGTAGTACTCGACAGTGCAGTTATAATCCCTAAACTTGAAGACTAAAAACCCTTTGTGTTTTGTGATCGGGCTTCCATTCACTTCATATATGGAATCCTTATTTGGAACTGCAGAAGAAAGCATGCATAGTAGGGACTCCCATTGGTTTCTTCCGATTGAGTCTCCAACAAATACTAACCGCTTGTTCCGCAATTTCTCCAACATCACTTTTGCATTAAATCTGTTTTCAAGTGATCAAGAAACATAAAAAAGGTAATAATTATTAATTTATTTTCCTAACTACATCACAGTATTAATTATTCTTCGTTTTTCCATTGATTGAGATAGTTCAAGAATATAAGCAATGTAATAAAAAACGTAAGAACATGCGTAAGAAGATATAGTGGATGTAAAAAAACCTAGCCAATTATTTGATCTCTCAAATTGCCCAAAAAAATCCCAACCCATTATTATATCTAAATAAAACCCAAATAAAATAAAGAATTAAGTAACCTAAAAAAAATTTAAATTAAATTATGCATTAAGTCTGCTTCAACTTTCAACAAGTGACAAAAGATAATAAAAAAAATTCATTATTATTCCTTCTTCAGAGGAAATGAGAACTCCCAAGACTTTGGGTTGAGTATTGGGGAGGAAAACATAAATACAATTATATTACTGCCATCACAAATACAAAGCAAAACATAAGACATCTGATGAATCAAAGTGAATTGAAAAGATTTGCACAAACCAAACCAAACCAAACCAAACCAAGCCTTAAGCCCCATCAAGATTTGCACCAAAAAAAAAAAAAGAGTGAATTGAAGAGAGAGAGAGAGAGAGTAAATTTCACCAACAAATTAATATTAAAGTCTAGCTAATCGCCAAATTCACGTAAAATGTTTTGGAAACGTAAAAGAATTTTGTCTCCATTGCCAAAAAGCTTCATATATAGCATCATCCTTGAGATACCGAAAGAAAAAATCCAACAATTAACAGAAAGTCCACCTAATGGAAAACAGAATCATGAAATTTTGTCTTGTAGAAGAAAATGAAATTTATCTTCATTACTAAAAAGCTTGTATATAGCATGATAGCATCATCCTTAATTTCATGGACAAAGATACCAAAAGAAAGAATGAAACAAACAACTAACTGAAGAAAAAAAGAAAGGAAAGAAAGAAAGAAAGGTAAATGGAAAAGGGGCTGAAAAGCACCAACAGAACAGACAAAATTCATTAACCATTTACTCAACCACGACACTCTGTGATTCTACTACTTTCAATCCACTTCAACACAGTTTACTTGAACAATAAGTAGCAGTTGATGGATCGATATTATGATAAAAAATTACATAAACTACCAAATCATGCTAATGTATGTACCTACAACATGAGATTAAAAAAAAGGGGGGGGATTTAAAACCCACCCCAAAAATAAATAAATAGAGATGAACATTATAAATATTAATAATTAAAATTACAAACTTTTTTCACTTTTTTGTAAATATTTTCTCCTGGACAATCAAAAATCCAAAACAAAACAGAACTCAAATTCCAAATGTATGCAACCATTGATGGTCAAAAAGAATGAAGGCAGAGAAATTTTTTATCCAGCTAATAAAACAATTAACTCCTCAAAATAAGTCATGCCTGGCTTAGTTGATTGGAGTTCTATGCTTCTTTAAGTCAAGTTTAAGAGATTCAAATTTTAATTTACTTTCTCCTTCCCAAATTTTCTCAGCAACCAAACACAATTCCAAGCAAAGAAAAATATTGAAAACCAAGTTTATGAAAAGTAAATGAAAAAACCAAAAAGAAAAAAGGAGCACCAAAAGAAAAGAAAAACAATAATTAATTATTTATTCAGAGAAGGCACTGGTGACTCATCTACAAGTGACTTAAGAAAATAAAAATCTTGGTTAAAAATCCCAAACAGAACTCAAAGAATAAAAGGAAAAAGATGCATACCCAGAATTTTGTCAAGAATTATACCAGAATAGTAAACAGTGGTTGAGATTTTGGGTCCATGCATAGAATGAATGAAGAACCATTGATTGCTATTTTTGGCTAAAATTCTTGGTTAAAAAACTTAACCTCAAGAAAAATAAATCCGGTTTGCCTTAGTTGAATGGAGTTTTATGCTTCTTTAAGTCAAATTCAAGATTCAAATTCTAATTTACTTTCTCCTTCCCAAATTTTCTCAGCAACCAGACACACAATTCCAGGAAAAAGCAAGATTATGAATAAACCTGGGCAAGTTACAATCTTTGGGCTGCCAACGCCACTTGGTGTAGAACAAATCAGGCCGTCCATTCTCATCACACCTAAACCCCTCATCCAAAAACCTGCAATCTTTTGATTGATACAATGGATATGTCTCATCCCAAACCCAATCACCAACAAACACATCACACCCACCACCCTTTTCACTCAAGAACTCAACCCTTCGATCCTCAACAGACCCATTAAATTTCAGCAACACAAACTCCTCAGACTCTGTTGAAATTCGAAACCTTGTGGCCACAGCACTGTAATCCAAGTAAAAGAAGCAACATAGGACACAGACAGTTACAAGAAAGAATCCCAGAACGCCCAAAGAGGGTTCGAACAGTCTCAAACGCTTGAATTTCTTGAGAAAATCAGAGCAAATAGGCACTGTTTCCATGTCTTGGTGATATGGGTTGTTAGACATTTGGATTTAGAGTCAAAATTGCACATAAAGAAAATCAAGAAACAGAGCAGAGGGCAAAACAAAGGGAATTGGGTCTGAATCTTTTTTCCTTTTTGGGTTCTTTACTTGGTGTGTGAACAAGATGGGTGTCAAGAAAGCAAGGTAGCATTCATGGAGAGTAAAAAGAGAGCGAAATGCACACCTTCCATTGTTAATGGCTTCAGAAGAGAGAGAGTGAGAGAATGGTGATTAAATTTGAAATCCAGAGAGAATCTGGAAAGGTTTTTTTAGTGTATATACAAATGAGTACACGAACACTATAGAAACGGCCACACTTTCTCTTTCTGGGTCGAGAAAACCGTGGGATTGAGACATGAGAGACAGAGAGAGAGAGAGAGAGAGGTGGGTCGTGACTCATGGCCCCAATCGAAAGGAAAAGCATTGATAACGGATAAAAGAGAGACGTTTGTTGGTTCACTTTATCTCTCTAGGGAATGTTTGGCACGCGCGGAATAAGAGACTGGATTTTTAAGATTTGGCATAAAAAAGCAGTGTGCTAAAGCATCCATTGGTATCCATGTAAATTGTTTGGTAAATTTGAATTGGTGAGGTACGAATGGCTTGAACGTATTAAAATAATGTCATTTTATATTTAAAATGATATCATTTTCATTTTAATACATTCAAGTCACTCGAGATTTTATTCTTAAAATGATGTCATTTGATATATTCAAATCATGAAATTTTAAGTCACCAACCATTACTGTGTCATCTATCAATGTTATTATGATCTTAATTATTATATAAATTATAAAGATTTAAAATTTTTAAAATTATGTCATATCATTAATTAATATTATTTATAAGAAATTAATATTAATTATTAATTAATTGGTGTAGATAGTTAAGTTTGTGTGTGTGACTGTTTGGAGACGTTAATAATAGGGAAAATTAGGCAATAGTGGGATTTGGGGTATAAATTTATAAATAAGTAGAATTTTTTTAAAAATTACAATTGAAATTAAATGTAAGAAACTAATTATAAAGAAGTGCAACTTATCCTTTTAATTTACAAAAATTTCTTCCTCTTCCTCTATCTTCTTCCTTTCTTTTACAAATCTAATTTTCATCCTCTAAATCACATAAATAAATATAAACTATTTTAAATATGAGCAAGGGTCCTCATGTATAATCTTGCTATAACTTTTACCAAACATGTTCACTAATGTCATCATTTAGATAAAATTGATGACAATTTTTTTTTTTAGCTAAACAGTTAAAATGATGGTTTTTTTTTTTTTTTTCGACTTTAAATTTGAGTAAGAATATCACATTTTTCATTATTATTTATCACAGATGTGCACAAAATTGCACTCTACATGTAGTTGGTTTATATCCTTGTTGCAGGTGAGATTGAGCTTCTTCTCTTTTTGCCTTCTTTTCTTTTCTTTTCCTTTTCTTTTCCTTTGTTTCAAAGTAAATTACCAGTTTTTTTTTTTTTTTTGGTTACAGGAAAATCCTCCCTACCCTCCTGCAGGTCCAAGGCAGCGCCCCTTACAGAGATCACCAAGGTGTCCTGTTAGCCGTTCCGAGCGAGGATACTATAACTAGGGAACTTGCCCCGACCTCCCAAGGCAAACTCCGCTTAAGTCAGGACTCGCACAGCAGGAGCGCATTGAACCCACACCAAGTGCTGACTAAACAACTTGAGGTCCAACCTCCTAACCAACGGTGCTTCGCCCTGGAGATTGGCCTAAAGGGAGAATTGAACTTGTGATCTTGGGGTTTAAACTCCAAGACCTTACCACAATGCTACAACCCCTTGGGTTAAATTACCATAGTTGTGTAGTTGAGTTCATTAGCTACTATCACTTGGACAGCTTGAGGGAGTTGTTATAGTAGGAAAGTTGTTAAAGTGGATTTGGCATTCTCAAACCTAACGATGGTTGTGGAACTAGCTTGGTGCCTCAAAAGTGGTGTATTAGGCCAGCCCACTTTACTTCATTTTAAACCCATCCACTCAACTATTAGGCTTAGGATCATTTGCTGTCCTTCTTTCTCCGTTTCTTTTTTTATAGGGCTTGAGAATTCTTTTATTTTTAGTGACTGTTAAAAAAGTTTATGCATTATCAATTGCTAAGTGCGCTTTTTTACATAAGTGAACTTATTTGGGTCACATTAATTAATATTTATTTTTTATTTTTTTACATATCTTTTTATGAAAAATTAAAAAAAACTTTTTTTTTGGAGAGAGACAATTTTATTACCCTTATCAAAAGTGGAGCCCTTGCTAAGGGTAAAGTAGTCTTTACACTATTCTAGTGAGATTCCGTGAAAAATTATTTTTAGAAATTTTTTTTTTTCAGACCATACAAACTTTCAGTACACATTGCAAATGATGTTCACATATAAATTTTCAAACAAAAGTTAAATGTTCAAATTTAAAATTATCAATAAAAATAAATTATTCAAATATATATTCCCTTCAACTATTTACATCCGAACAACTACTTTATATTCATAAATTTATATCTAAACATTTGATTTTGTTTAGAACATCATATGTGATTTGTATTGAGATTTGTATGGTATACAAATAGAATTGCCCATTATTTTTTTTAATCATATATATATGTTGCTATTTTAGCTAAACCAAACATAAAAATTTGGGTTTAGCTTAATTAGTCAAAATATTATTTTTATTCAGAGATAGCCAAATAGGGTTTTAGCACTCTTACATTATCATCATTTAAAAATAATTCTAACTTTATCAATTTGGAAATAATAATAACGTAATAATGTTGATGAATTTTGAAATGAAACTAGGATAATACTTCCTTTTAAAATTTTAAAAATAAATTATGAATATAAAACTAAATAGAGTGATGAGTGTTTGATTTATTTATTCGTTGTAAAACAAAAGTAGTATGAGTGAGGATTAGTGCAAAAATTTCAACTCAATTAATGATTAAAAACTTTATGAGTAAAACTTGAGAAACTAATTCAACCATGCTAATTGATTTGGAGGTCATTATCTTATATGATATTGTCCACTTGGTTCTATGTTGTGCTTGATTGATTTTTCTTCTTGGTAATTAATGTCCCTTAATAAAAATGTCTTTGATAGGCCCAATTTTGTCACAACCATGACAACATATGATTAAAATGTTTTTGATGAGGTCCAATTATATAGTCTAGCCAACCCCAAAGATTGGTAAGAAATGACTACTTGAGAGAGACTTGAGGGCTATCTCATGTCATAGAAGATTAATTATGGACATATAGTCAAAAACAACTATTTGTCATGAGCCTAGTGGGCATTTAGAGAAGTTGATAGGGCTCTCTTGCCAATTGTCGGAGGGCTAAAATAATAATACTATTGCCAGAATATTGCATTTTATATTTCTATATTCCTTTAATTAGGTTACTTATTCACTATTCTATTGTAAATTTGTAGATAGTCTTTCTATTGTAATAGCTAGTCTTTTATCTTATTAATACAATTTTACTTTTTCCTATGGTTCTAACATTTTTATTTTTTTTTGTGATCAGCCTATGGTTCTAACATTAATGAAAAAGAAATTTATTTACATAAAAAATATTTTTAAACTAAAATCTTATCAATATTATCATATACTATTACTGCTATCTTCACATCAACTACACTACCACTGCTGCTGCTACCGCCACAATCTCCATCCCACGGCTACCATTAGGGAGGAAGGAAGGGAAGAGGTGGTGGTTGGATGGGCAGTGGGGGTAAAATTAAAATTAATTGAGATGTTCAAAAAAAAAATTATAAAACTAAAAATTGAAATGTATAAAAAAAACCAGAGGCCTTGTTTGGTTTGTTTTTGAGAAATAAATTTTGGTTTAGTGATTTTAGAAAAAAAAAAAAATTCAAAATCACTTTCTATCTCCTAACACATCAATCAATCACTTTTCTCTCTCTTCCTTCCTTCTCAATTATTTTTTCTCTCACACGCATCTACTCAATCACAACAAAATATCAAATCATCTCAAACTCTTATATTCCAAAACTATTTCCAAAATATATAACTAAACAAACCAAAAAAATTTCTAAACTCTTTCTCCAATTTTTTTTTTAAAAAAATTTATCTTCCAAAATCAAATCAGACACACTGTGTTTTACAATACTTTTTTGATTATACTAAATAAATTATCTATGCAAAAACTTAAATTGATTGAATTATATTTATCTTATTTACGGACAAATAGGAAGAGAGAGTGTACAATTTTTCCTTAGTGTCAAACAAGATGTTATTTGGTGCCCCGCACGAATATGTGGTGTCACAAGACATTGTTGATTAGTGGAGGAGATAGGACTGACAAATTTGTGTTGGAGAACGAAAAAAGAGCATAAATATAATGGACTGTGATTGATGTGTAGAACGTTATAGATACTAAATAATTTTTTGTATCAAAGGGGACATATTGTTAATATTACATCAAGTTAAAAATTTAGAGTTCAATTCTACAAAATTGATAACCTAGATCGGTAGTTTATTTTTATTTATTTCTTTGACTAGATAAATGGTGGAAAGTGAGGAAAATAAATTTTTTAAATTTTGTTTTTTTAGTATGAAAGTGGTGAAAGTTGTAAGAAATTTATTTTTTCTAGTATTATCAGTTGTAACTAAACTTTTAATTTCTTATAAAAAAACACAAGAAAGTAAAAAAGAAAGTTTAAATTTATTTATAAAATGATTACTCATAATTAAAATTCTCTCTCTCTTTTATAATTTTTTTTATCCAAATCAAATTCACACACACGTATATTTTCTTTCATTTTTTAAAAATTCACTTTTAGGAAATAAAAGAAATAATTATGTAAGTTAATAGGAAAAAGAAAAAAAAAGGGGGGGAAATATGTGATTTCTCTCCATTTTATTTGAATAAATAAGAGAGAAAATAAAAGAAAAGATAATGATTTATCTCTTATCTTGTTTAGTTAAATTACATAAATAAATAAATAAATAAATGATATCATGTTATATTATCAAACTAATCTTTTATAAGTGTTAGACTTTTTTTTTTCTTTTTCTTTTATATCTAAAAATATTTTTAGTATAGTGACAAAATAGCATTTAGTAGATTTTATTTTCTTTCTCAATCTCTCCACTTTTGAAGATATTCAAAATAAAAATTACAAGAGAAATGAATTTCTTGCCATTTCTTTTTATTTCACTTAATTTTTTTCTTGTTTATTTATCCAAATGAATGATATAAACTAAGAGAAACTTTTATTATCAAATCACTCAATCCAAATAGGTTGTTGATTCCTAGCCTTTTCTTGTTCCCATTTTTTTAAAAGACCAAACATGGTGTGGACAAACATCGGGTTGGGTTGAGTTGGGTTTAGACCAAGCTGACACTGTATAATAAGATTATGTGTATCATTCAAAACTTGGTCTGGCCCGACATTAGGCCTAACATAGCCATCATAAACCTAATCTTAAAAGAATGTCTAAATTCCAAATCCGTCCACTTAATTCAATAGATATGAACTATTAATTTTTTTTCTTAAAAGATTATTAAATTATTTAAATTTTTTCAATAATCATTTAAATTTAAAAATATTAATAAAGATTAATTATAAAATAAAATCTTTCAAAAAGTATTTTAGTTTAACTTATAGAAAGAAGTATGTGTATATATATATATTATCTGTTTTTAAAATTATTTTGTAATTAAATAATATAAAAATCAAAAATAAATTTTTTTTAAATGACCAGCCAGCCAGTTTAGGTATCTTAAGTTTAACTCGAAAATTAAGTAAATTTAAAAATTTTATATAATCCGATCTTATAAATTAAATATAGATATATTTTATTTTTTAAAATCTTAAAATATCGAGTTAGGATGAGCGGGTTTGACATTCCCTCGTGCCACCGTACAAAACCACGAAAACTAGCTCAGTTCTTCCACTTCGTTTGCTTCTATTCAATAAATAATCACCATTTGCACAGACACACATATGTAAAATATGCACATATATGCAGCAATTGAAGCCAAGTAATTGTCTGTTGGGTTCCTCTTCAATTATCAGAAGGCAACATTTCTTGATAAGGGTTTTAGGTTGTTCCAGCAACAATCAAACCCATCATCATCAGTCAAGAATGAACTCTATGATTTGTGGGTCTGATTTGGAGGCTGATGCTTTGGGCATTTTGAGGTCAATCACTCCAGCTCTTGACCCATCTCGGTATAAAGGCCAAGCTGGTAATCTTTCTCAAACAATGTTAAACTCTCTTGATTTTCAGAACAATTCACTCAATATTTCTGTATTTATTGTATCATTTTTTACTGCCCATGCTGTCAATTTAGTTCAAGACAGGAAAAGATTAGGACTTTATGTGTGTGTTTGTTGAGGGTTTTAAGATATATGACTATCTATGAATCACAGAAGTCAAGTAGGAGTGTCTGAATTTGTGTGTGCAGATATGTGTGTTTAAATTTGGATCTATGTTAACGACAACCCTGAGATGGAGAAAATGCCTAAATAGCTACAATACTATTAGGGTTTTCACATATTCCTGAACAATTTCATATATTTCTTTATAATTTTGACACATTTCTATATATCTTTTACACATATATGGAGGCTAATAACCACCAATTGGCCGGTCATTAGCATTTTTCTTTATGTATAAATGTTTGTGCTTAATACTAATCTAAAGTGAAGAAACATGGTATGCTCTGTCAATTGCACATTAAAATCTGTCAAGAAAGATGGAGGTTTAGATGTTTTGTTATGGGAAACTATTTTCTGTTGAAACAAATGGAGGGTAGGAAACTTTGGTGCATGCTTGTGTCATGTGCCACCTTGATAACGGCCAATCACAAAAATTACTGTCATGCTTGCAAAATGTCTGCTAATTATAATCACTGTTTATCTTCTGTCGACTTCTTTACTAAATAACCATTATTGCTACAAGAAAACTAAAATGCATTTGCCTCCTGATACAAATAAGATGTATTGCTTTATGGTTTCAATGGGGAAGTTCATTCTTATGGTTTTTGATTCCTTGTTACATTTTGCAATATTTATATTTTTTCCCTAATTTCCTTCAGAATATCCTTTTGTCTTGTTTTGTTTTCTCCCTGATTGTCAATGAGTCCTCATCTTCCACACATGACGTAGTTCTCATGTAAGATAGATGTTTCTAGGTGAGTTCAACACAGGAGCTGCAAATTTTTTTTGGCAAGTTTATTTGTGAACAATTCTTATTTCGAGTTTTATACTTCTTATTCTTCAGATAAATATTCTATCTTGCTTCCATATAAGCCAATTATACAGGCAAGACATGCTTGACACAAACAGACAAACTACAAGACCAAGTACCTGTGTTTGCAACTCCAAGTTATGCATTTGATTAATTTCAACATCACATTACTTATTTAAAGAAACAGATGTGCTGATTTGAGAATTTTTATACTTAACCCTGAATATAAAGCATAACTTGTCAGCAGGCTGGTTCAAGGTGTGAGAAATGTGCATGATATATATTTGAATGACGACTCCTAACTAGTGACCTCTCTCTCTCTCTCTCTCAATAATTGTTCTTCGAAGTAGTAAAAGCAACAACTGATATCAAGAATGGCTTCAGCACCCAAGATGAATGTCTGCATTTTCTGTCATCGATGTATGCATATACTCACTTATGTATCTATGAAACCTGAACTGTTTGTATATTTTACCTCATTTGACATATTTTTCTCAAGTGAAAATTGTAATTATGATTTTATGTCGTTAATACATTGATCACATTATTTGTCAATCAGGGAAGATAGCTGTTATAGGAGGGTGTCGTGAATACACAGGTGCCCCATACTTTTCTGCTATATCAGCTTTAAAAATTGTTAGTCTTCTCACTCTTGCATCTTTTGTCCTGATTTATTTATTCTTCCTATTCTTATATTTAACCATTAACATTAATTGATTCTATTTTTTGAATAAAAAACCCATGTTATTCTAATTTATAATTGGCCACTTGATCATTTTTTGAATTTTTTCCCACAGGGTGCAGATTTGTCTCATGTTTTCTGTACTAAAGATGCAGCTCCAGTTATAAAAAGCTACAGCCCCGAGTTAATTGTGCACCCTATTTTGGAAGAATCTTACAGTGTTAGGTGGATTTCTCAAACTAGTACATTAATTTTTTTACGATTTTTACACCTACTTTTGTATAGGATGCTGATCTTGTGGAAGTTACTTTCAGGGATGATGAGGACAAAAGATCAATCTCAGACGACGTTCTTGCTGAGGTTGTGACGTGGATGGAAAGATTTGATTGTCTTGTTGTTGGTCCAGGACTTGGAAGGGACCCATTTCTTCTGGTGTGCCTTTCTTACCATTTTTCAATCTTATATATGTTTGAGGACATTGGCTAAAAGTTTGATTTAAAGGTCACGATTTAAGTGATGTAGTTATTTGCTTGAATTAGATGTGATTTTTGTGTCTTGGTTTTGCTTGATGCATATCCCATACATATAATTGTGAGAATGAATTTACAGACCTTTGAATGTTCTTAAATGTGGCGACTGCTGAGATGATATCAGCTTTAAGACAATTGAGGCGTAGGTGTTTATGCCTCAAGGTGCTTCATTTGTCTTATGTTGTTAAACAATAATTTTCAGATCTTGATGTATGTTTAAATGCACATCTTCAAGTGTGTTTATATGCAAATGTGCAAATGATCCAACCGTCTTTCTAGAAGATATATTCTACAAAACCATCTTTTCTAGACGATATATTCTGCACTCAGTATTGTCGATTTCTGTTGTAAGTTTTCCAAAAAGTAACAATGGGAAAATCTTTGATGTAAATTAGAACCTAATGTATATGAATAATCTTAATAATCTTCATCATAAGAAATGAATTATTTGTTTGATCTAATAGGTCTACGGTCAAAAGAAGAAAATTATGTGAAGCCTAAATTTTGTGGTTCGAACCTGCATTTTTTAACCACTAAGAATATATAGTTGGTTAATGAATGAGAAGCATATAATATTCTTTGAATTGCTATAATTAACATATCTACTTGCATTTAGGAACTTTCTAATGTTCCTGGTTTTTCTAGGAGAAACTTTCCTTTTCCTTTTCTGTTCATCATTAATTTTCTTGCTATATGCCCCTTGTAACTTCTCTTGCTATATGCCTGTTTCTTATGTTAAATGAATCCTTTCTAAAGCATGCATACAATGTTCAGGACTGCGTTAGCAACATCATGAAGCATGCAAGGCAGTCAAATGTTCCAATTGTCATAGACGGGGTATGTGGTCACACACACACACACACGCATCATTTTGTAAGATATGTACTTGGCGATTCTTGTCCATCCATATGGTATACTTTTGAACTTTGCCTTTTTTGTTGGTGACATGGGTCTGTAACAGGATGGTCTTTTTCTTGTCACAAACTGTCTTGATCTGGTTAGTGGTTACCCGTTGGCTATCCTAACCCCAAATGTAAATGAATACAAACGGCTTGTTCAAAAAGTACTAAATTGCGAAGTAAATGATGAAGATGCTCCTCAACAATTACTATCTCTTGCCAAAGGGTAAATTCTCTTTTAAAATTTGGTAGAAGTATTCTTTTAGTAAGTTGTATCATCTGACATGACATCCATTGTAACATAAATTTACAATTGAGCGTTGTACCCACGGCCTAGCCAGCCCATTTAACCATCTTCATGATGTTATTAATGTCTTTGGACAGCTTTGATTGAATTTTTCTGTGGTGTAATGAACCAATGGATAGAATCTTTTCTTGATCAGGATTGGAGGTGTAACCATTTTAAGGAAAGGAAAATCAGATCTCATCAGTGACGGTGAAACAGGTAACTTGGCTGGTTGATTACATTATTGTTTATCTTGTTCGTGGTTTAGCATTCTCTAGCCTTGGAAATGTTAAATATTGATTGCAGACTTCTTTTTTCATTCATCTTTCTGTTTGAATAGTTTTTGGTTTATTTCGTAATTATACTTCACAACTCCTGGAGTAGCATGATGTTTTGCATATTCAATTTGACTTGCACGATATCTATATATGCAACACACTTCTTGCATATAGTTCAATTTTCTAGATGCTGCAGTCTTATGGATGGACTTGTTTATTTATTATTATTTATCGAATGGTAGGAGATAATTTACGAATATCAAGTAAATAATGTCAAACCGGATAATGAACTATGAAAGAAAATCCAACCACATACCCTCAAGTCCAACAACAACATCGATACAAGAAAGAGCTCGATAATGGGGAAGAACAACTTGAAGAGCCCCTAACAAATGAACTTATGGATTACACTACTTAAAATCTTAACATCATGATAGAGCTCCCTCATCTTTGCAGCTTTCATTTATTCTGTTTTCCAATTCACAATGGCCTAAATGAAGTCAGTCATTTGAGCTGGTTGACTTGAGATCACACATCTCAACTGTTCAGATGATGTCTGTTTGTTGGCACATAAATTTTAAACCAAATTTATGTTTAAATTTCAAATACAGTCAATCACACACATAGAGCCTACGATAAGATTGTTGTAGGCAATCACTTCCCAAAATGATTAACTTGCTCCGGTGAAGTGTATAAATAAAACGACGTCGTATCTTAATGACGTTATTCAAGATGCTCAAATGACACGTGGAGCCTACGAAAGATGACACCTGTAGAGCCTACAGCAAGGACACCACACAGGATGAAACCCCAAAGATCAATCCGGTTAATCAGATATATGATTAATCAGATAGCGCTATTATTCAAAATTCAAATAGGCGCTATCATTCAATTTGAAATTCAAAATGAAGATGAAGCGTTCCTATCACCTGATGGCCCTCCATAAATATGAGGACCATCACACAAGACTGGGGGATCAGAAAATCAGAAGGGAAAAGATCAGAGAGAGAGAAAAAGAAATTGAGAGCTAAACAATTCGTTACAAGAAAGAAGAGGAGAAGCCTAGAGAACTCAAGAGCCTATGCTAATGGCGATGAATAGGTAAAGGGTTCCAAACCCAAGCTGTATTTTGTATTCGAGGGTTCAAAACCCATAACAATCTCAATAAAATATTTATTTATTTTTTTCTTAAATTGTCTTTTGTTGTTTATTTTGTTCTTCATTAATCGGAGGTTTCATTTAATGTCTAATTAACGATCTGAAATACAGATCGGAAATAAGAACCTGCTATTTAAATAATCAACACTGTTTAGTCCAAAAAACTGAAGAGTGGACATTTGTAACATAAATTTTGAAATGTGTTGAAATACTTCATGTTTTAAAATTTGTGTCTACACTGTTACTAGTAGCCTTTCACAGAGAGATTGAACTGCATTATTTCTGATTCTCCATGCGTTTCATGCAGTCAGGTCAGTGAGCATATATGGTTCTCCACGGCGCTGTGGTGGCCAGGGTGATATACTTTCTGGAAGGCAAGTGATTTTAGATCTTTTATAAATATATATCTAGAAAAAGCAGTCCTGACATTTAAAAACTCAAGTAGGTATCTGTTCTTGTTCTTCATCATCTAAACTACATATCAAGATAAGATAGCCGTACTTATAAGTCATAATTCACACTCTTTGATCATCTTTACTAGATGTTGGGTGTTAGTAAGTGCCATGACAAAATGAATTTTGATCTGAGTTTTTTTTTTTTTTTTTGAGAAGAATGATCTGAGTTGGAAGGTCAAAAAATACTTTGTTGCTTGATCGCACTTTTTGCATCATGCTAAGCTTTGTCCTTATGTTGATGCTAGTGTTGCCGTCTTCGTCTCTTGGGCACGCCAATATATCTCCTCTGGCAAAGGGGAATCGGCCATGAACCCTACGATTTTGGGATGCATTGCTGGATCTGCTCTAATGAGGAAAGCAGCGTCGCTTGCATTTGAGAATGAGAGAAGGTCGACCCTCACCGGTGATATCATCGAGTGCTTGGGAAGAAGGTAGTCTCTGATTACTTCAAAAAAACAATATTGAAGCGGTATCACTTCTGTGTCTTACTCTATTCTTTTTTGCAGCTTGGAGGAAATTTGTCCACTCAGCTGTTGATGTTGATTGTCAGAGTTCAAAACCAAAGAAACATGGAAATGTGTTTTTATTTTCTTAGGTGCGTTTAAAAGGTAAAAATAATTGACTGAAATATGAAAAAAAAAAAATCAATAATAAAAAAAAAAAACATGAAAAATAAAAAATTCAAAATAGTTTTCAAAAACTAAACCAAACAGGTGACACCGGCTTTCTTTGGCAGTGACTCTCTTCATAAGCTCCTGTGAAGCTTTGCATGATTGCTCCTTCCTCTTTTTCATTCTTCTTCCCCTTGTTCATTCTTCTTCCCCCGTGTTCTTTGCTTGTCTAGTCCATTGGGAAAAGGATTAAATCCAAATGTGCTGTTGGACTATGAAAAAGAAGAGTGGTTTCTATCCAAACACTCCCTTTACAAGTATATTAATGTGCTTAAATTGTAGTTGGCAATGGTAGTACTCATAATACCTTTTGCTTTGTTCCTCAATCACAATCTGCTGTCAAAGCCTCCAGTGACGGTTGGGTGGGATGAAATTAAAAAAAAAAGAAAAAGAAAAAGGAAAATAAAAAGAAAAAAGATTTACATACGGTGACAAGAAAAGGCTTTTGTAGATTTATACACTTTTGAGGCCTATGTTTTTGCATATTGGATTTGTCAATGAAAATGAAAATGCAAGGGAAATAAAATTTATTATACATGTTTATTTTTATATTAATTTTTAATTTTCCTAACCCAAAAGAAACAAGTTCACTGGCTTCTCTCTCTCAAGATTCAAACACCTAATTGTAGATGTTAATGACGTGTAATTCTATTTGTAATTCATAGTTTATATGAACAAAAACAAATCTTCAAATATAAACTTGTAAACAAAAGGCAATTGTCTAGACATAAATAGTTGATTGGACTTTGATCCTGTTCATTAGATGTATTTGAACAATTTACAAAAGTTCATAAGTTTTTGTGTAAACACTTGATTTTTATTTTGGAAGTTTATATCTGATATGAACATTTGACTTTTGTTCAAAAATTTAGGGTTGATTTGGCGTGTCCTAAAAAAGTACACTTTTTGTCTTTTTACGAAAAGATGTGCAGAAAAGTAGAGAGGTGATGTGATGGAAAAAAAATAAAAAGATAAAAAGATGGATTATATAGTCTATGTCAAACCAGTCCTTATATTTGAATGACATAAATAATGTGTACTGCAATTTCTTGTAGTGTACAAAAATTTATATTTGTGGCCCATAAAAGCACATAAATATAAAATAAAACATGAGAAATTTTAACATACATCTTTTTAAAAATGGTATTAAAAAGATGGTATGTCATGCATTTTTAATTATGTTATTTTTTTAAAATTTAATTTTGATATTATTTTAATTATATCTCATGTTATATTTTGTTATAATATATTTTCTTTTTTGTTATAACTCAAAAAATTAAAATTATATTTTTTTTAGTTACAAGATCTATATGCATCATAGTGTTTTCTATAAAACGTATGCAAAGCGATCTATTTTTGCGAGTCCCTTCAGACCCGCCTCTGCAAATATAAACCCTGAATACCTACGACTACCTGCAACATATTGGGATGTAAAATCCGAGTAAATGATTTTATGTTGGACAATTAGAGAACATGAGAGGGTATGGAGTGTATAATTGGTTTGAGTCATGGTCACGTGGTGTTTTAGAATCAACTAATAATTTTTTATCCTTAAAGCGGGGAACTACAATGGTGGATAGATGCACAATGATCATAGCATTTGAAATGGAATCATGCAGTTAAGCATTCAGCCAAGGTGTTAAAAAAAAAGAAAAAAAAAGAGACAATTATAAAATAAAAATAAAAAATAAAAAAAATCTTAAGTTTGACTCTTATAACAAATTAAAATTTTAATTTTTAATGTTATCAATTAAAATTCTAAAATCTTCGATTTGTTTTCAAACTAAATCATTTGTTTATTTTCAATAAGTAAAATTAACGAAAAATATAATATTTTAATCATTAAACTCAATAAAAAATAATATTTTAGATATTTTATGTATACTTATTGAGTTTAATAACTAAAATATTATTTTTTTGTCAATTTTATTTAATAAAAATAGACGAATGATTTAGATTAAAAGCAAATAAAAAAAAAAATTGAAACTTAAATTGACAAAATTAAAAATTCAGATTTTATTTTATTATATGTCTCAAACTCTTGGTGGTTTTTTTTTTTTTTTTTTTTTTTTTCACTATCACCAATCATATCCAACTCAAAAAGAATAATTCCATCATTGACAAAAAAAAAAAGTAACATCAGCCACCAAAACATTGCCACTGCATTCTCTAACTTACAAGAGGTCAGAATTTTATGACACACTTTTGGCACAAAAGTAAAACCAGAAAAAACTCATGAAAGACTCCTATGAAGAACAAGCTATGCTATACTATCTGAGAGCTAACAATAGTTTCCCAAACATGTTTGTCTCTTTTGGTCTTCTCTATTAGTTCTTCAGTATCTTCTCTTGTTCTTTGCTTCTACTACGATAACATCATCCACCAAAACATCTGCAGAAGTAATTTTATCAATGTATCAGCAAGTGTAAGAGAAGATAAAAACAATAATGAAAACAATTTTGTTGATAAAGAGCAGTGGACCCAAGTAAAGTCACCAATCAGGGAGGAGACTTATTTTGTTATATATACATATATATATATATATATATTTATATTTTTTGACAATTGGTAGGAGGGGAATAGAAATGGGAAAGCTGCATAGCAGTAAGACTCTAACCTGAGCATAACAAAAATAACTCCATTTCAAAATCACAGGAAATCAACTGAAATGGGGTCTCATATGGTATAGATTTTGACTCTTGTACCTTCAATATGCAGGCACCCAACAGATTTGGAAGTAGGCAAAATCAGCACAACCCTCTACCATCTTAACAAAATATTTTACAACTAAAGAAAGGATGAAGCAAACACATTTTCAAGCTCAGAGAGTCTATGATTCTTCTTTTTCTTATTTTCTGTTTTGCTAAATACATACTGAAAGAGAACCACAAAGTCTAATTATGTACCAAGCCAGAGCCCACATCTTTGACAAGATTAAAGAGATGCATCAAGGAGAATATATATTCAGACGATCCAACACATGTACATGGTAATTGAAAAAAGTACCAATAACCAGAGCAGTTCACATAAGCACTATTAATATTTAAACCTCTGCAGAAGCATACTATCCGTTTGGTAACACTTAGAAAAAGAAGCTGATTTTGGCATAACAGAGTTAGCTTAAAAAAGGCATCTAAAATCTAACTTCTAAGAAAGTAAGCATTTTGAGCCATTTAAGTTGAAAAGGCAAATAGGCAAAAAACATGAAAAGTGGAATCAAACTCCCTACCTTTTTTAAGTACAATTGTTTAAGCATATGATTTCAAATTTTAAGCCAACTAAGATGTAACTAACTAAGAACCAAACAGGCCAAATAAAACACTTACATAGTAGTCATCCATGTTTCTAGTTAATCCACTCCCTTAAGAATCTGCAGGTGGTTGCTGCTGATGTGGCCACATCTGCTGAGCTGCAGCGTAAGGATTAGATTGCTGGCCATAAAGTGCTTGATCAACAGGCTTACCCATGAACATCCCTGGAGCTCCAACCTGTGGGGCATGCTGTGGCGGCATATAATAATATGGAAGGCCTTCAGTCGGGCCCCCCACAGGAAGCGTTCCTCTTGGCATTGATGCAAGTACCTCATCTTTCAAATCCTCCCTCGGAACGATATCAACCAAGAAATCAAATATCTCATTCCTTGTGATAGCCGCAGCAATATCGTTCTTCTGAAGCGTCCTCCTTTTGTTCTCCTCCGTGTGATTCCAAGACCGTAGCGTTAACTCTAAAATGAACATCTCACAGGCCCTGGCAAACACGACCGGAGCCTCAGCTGATATCATTCTCACATCCTCGTCTGCTTTCATGATCTTTTTAATCCTAGCTAATGGAAGGCTATGGTTTTTGAAATCAGATGTTTGCTCAATTTCTTGGTACTGACTTGCCCAAAAACCCTGGAGTTGTTGCTGCAATTGCTGTTGCTGTTGCTGGTGGATGTGTGGATAACCCAGTTGGTGCTGCGCAAGCTGAGCTGGCGAGGCAGAGGTACCTCCGGTTTGAGGAGATTGAGTCGATCCAACTGGTGGAGGAGCAGAGGGCCTCATCATTTGGTTAGCTTGATATGGGCCCACGCCATATGGCATCTGAGCTGAACTACCCACTACCCCCATAACAGGGGGCTGCCCATGCCCTTGCTGATCCATTGTGAATGCTTAGGCTCTCTAACTCTAGAGATCTTTAGCTATGGACTTTCTGATAAAAGTACAAAAAAGAACATAAGGATATTCAACAAAGAAAAAATGTATTATGCACTTTGTCATGAGAAAAAATTGAGGTTCACAAGTCATTTTGCTAGAAAATTTAATATATGTACTATGTAGATGTAAAGTGAGCTGCTATTTTGCAGATGACCACCGGCATTGAAATCTGGAAGACATGACTTGCTGGTCCTCACAAACTAATAACATTGAAGGTTGTCAATTTGCCCAATCATGGACTGAATCAAATCCAAATTGAAGACCAGAGGAAATCTGTTTGAAAATACTGGTTCCAGTGTGAGGGCTGGGGTTGGGCACATCTTTGATCCTTACTGCCAAGTCAAACCTAGAGCAACTTTCATAATGTCATCCTGGTTTTTGTCAGGACAAAAACCCTAACTGTCAGGGGTATAGAGGCATTTGTCCAATGGAATTTCACAGAAAAGTGTGCCTATACTGAACTTACAAGAACTAATACATTCCCTTTGGCAAAGGAGCTGCAGAGCATTTGGAAATCAAGAGGATTACAAAGGTGCAAACATTTTTTATAGTTAGTGAGGAATGAACATTTGGTAACTATTCATCCAAAGTTCAGACACTAAGAGTTTGTTTGGAAAGTGGGTTGACTTTTTGGCTATTTTAGCCTGGGGCTAAAAAATCTCGTTTGGGATAGGCCTTTTGGCTTTTTTGATTTTTGTGACAAAAAAAAATGAAATGATTATGGGTTGGATGTGATGTTTTGTCTTATTGGACTAAAAAATTTATTTTGTCTTTTTGTGGCTAAAATAGCCCCAAACCCAACCCAACCCTTCTTCCCAAATGAGTGCTAAGACACCTATCAAGGAATGGGTTCCATCGTATTTGCGGGTATGACAATGAGTTAAACTTACATGATATTAGAGATTGTTTATTCCCCGTACAGCAGAAAGTGGTTCTCCCGCAATACCAACAGCGTTCTTTTCTCTCCTTCTGAAGGACTGGATTGATAGAAATCTAAGGAATGGTGACTGTCTATGTTGAGTGAAGGTGAGAGGGGAATGACTTTTATGGGTGCAATCTTGACAATCTGGCTCTGGCAGAATAAGAGTGTGTATGAGCTATACTTTGTAGATCCAGAGAATCCTGTCTTTTTCATTCAGCTAACTCACTAGCTAAGTATTATCAGTGAGGTTGACACGGCTCAAGCATTTGTTTACCAAGGTAGTTAATGATAACAGTCAAGTGGAACCCTCCCCAGAAGCCTATGAGAAGGCAAATAAATAAATATAGATAGTTCACTCAATGGTAATCTGAGTATTGCAGGAAGTGGTTGTTTGATTCAAATAGCCATGGGTATTGGATACAGGATCTGTTCAGATGATAAGATGGGCTTCCACCCTCACCGTATAACTACAAGAAATTTGGAAGGGTTACAGTTTTGCATGGAATCAAGAATTTTAGAGAGTAATTTTGGAAACAGAATTGCACTAAGTCTTGGATCTCCGTCTTCAAGAAAATCTTCGAAAATAATTTGCCAAACAAATTTTCCGTATTAGTTTCCTCTTCTTTTTTTTTTTTTTTTTCTCTCCCTATTTTTGAGAATATAAAACGAAACACAAATAATTTGAAAATTCATTTCTGATGAATCTTTATTTATTTTTTTACATAAAATAAAATTAGAAAAACCATATCCCATGAATAAAATACCCAAAACAACAAGGGACAGATAAATAACTCCTTGAAAAGACCACTTTTAAGCACATAAATTCAACAAGATCCGACATCTACTCAAAGTTAATCAGCAGAAAAGTAGCCTAAATTATCCCAACCTCATTTTTAACAACCCACCACAAGATAGCTCAAATACAAAGAACCTCTTCATAATTCTCAATTAACAGTCACATATTATAGCAAGAATCTTCACCACCAAAATCAAAAGCACAAATCTAGTATACTTATGCATGCACACCAATATATATATATGAAATCAAGTACCTATATAGCTCTGTTCACTCTGGTTTCTTGATCTTGCTCAACGATCAAAACCCTAAAAAAACCCAAATCACAATTGTTAAGTAAATCAAATAGAAGTCAATGGAAAATTGACTACACACACATAAAACTACCCATATAGAAATCAATCGAACCTGTGTTCTGTTGCTGTAAATCCCACAGGGGATGAGAGAATTGAGTGAGAAAGATCAACTAGGGCTCGAATTCATCGAGAGCTCATAGCATCAAAGTGCATGATATACATATATATATATATATATATCTACACGCGAATAGATATAGAGTGAGAAAATATAGTGGGCAGCGCAAGTTTTGGTTGGATTGGATGAACTCGACTCTGCACTCTCTTCTCTCTCTGTCTCTCTCTCTCTCTCCAATGAAAGATTTAACTTTAGATTTGACTTTTATTTTTCATTTTTTATGCATTAGATATTAATTAATCAAAAAAGAAAAAAGGAAAAAAAGAAAAAGGAAAAGAAAAAGAAGGAGATAGTTGATACCTTGATCTACAATACCTAATCCGGTTACTATTTAATTTAACTTTTTTCTTACATTTAATAATGTTTGCTTTGAAGAGTTGTAATTTTTTTTTTCTTACATTTAATTGTATTGTTATTTTGATACACTTCATCTGCACTATTTATTTAGGGAAAAATGTTTGGGGGCCCTAATTCTGTGGCTCAAATGTGGCTCAAATGGCTAAAACGACATCGTTTTGGCCATTTTGATGTTGTTTTGTACTCAAAACGACGTCGTTTTGAGTATTTGAGCCACATTTGAGCCACAGAATTTGGACCTTCTACCATTGCTCTTATTTAGGATATTTTAGTTTGTTTTTTTAGTTTTTTTGAAAATATATAAAGAAAAGTAAAGAGAATATTTTATAATGATTTTTTGATTTTTTTAAAAATTATTTTAGCATGTTGTCAAATGGGCTAGTTTAAGAAGCGCCAATATAAAGATGTGACACAATGGCGCCGTTTGGGAAGCACAAAATGAGGTTATTATAGCCTATTTTGATAAATTAGCCCAAAAGTAATACTGTTGGAACCTTTTTCAAAAAAAAAAATATTCTGCACAGCCGGCAGTGTAGGCACAGCCTACACTGTCAGCTACAACAGTTGTTCCATCAATAAATAAATTACCATTTTACCCCTTGATATCAATTTAAAAAACTATATTTTTAGGGATAAATTTGTCATTTTAAATTTAAACATCATTTCAACACACTTTTCAATACAACAACTCAACTAAAAATTCATCCCATCTTCCCAAACACAACTAAAATAGCCTACTAAAATAGCTAAAAAACTAAATAGCCTACTAAAATAGCCACTTTCCAAACGAGGCCAATATAAATATGACAAGATGAATTTTTAACAAAAACGTAAGACGTGATAGATAGAGAACAAAATGTAAAATAAGTATATAATTTTTTGTATTCATTGTACTTTATATATGTAAATCTTTAAGTCAATTATAATAATTTTAAAAATTAAAAAAATGAGAATATATATAAGTTTATATTTTTTCTTTGTATTATTATTGAATTTTAAGTCATTTTATTTAAACTTATGCTCCATTCGTCTCAAAATAATAGTCTATTTTGATAAATATAATTTATTTTTTGATAATACAATTATTATATTTTAAAAATATTAATTTTTCAAAATTACCCTTTAATAGTATATTTTTTTTTGGGAATATCAATTGTCATAATTGTAATTTTTGTGTTATTAATGAATTTAAAAAAATGACAAAATAGTAAATTCATATTATTTTATTCATTAATTTTTGAAAATGACTAATATTTTGTGATAATAAAAATAGAATAAAGAAAAAATATTTTAAGACAGAGACGAGTAATATGTTTTATATGTATCTGTACGGGGAGGAAATAATTCTCCTCGTATAATCCTGTTGACCAAGTCCACGCTCCTCCGTACGACGTCGCTTTGTCACCTGAAAACACAAACGTGAGCTAGCCGGCGGGTGTGTGCCGGAAACCTCTCCGATGCCTAAGTCAGAAAACTTGACAAATAGACAAAGCTCTAAATTCTCAGAAAGATTGTGTTCAATTACCTCCTCCAAGGTGATGCTTGTGAGCTTTTATAAGTTTCATATGGCTCAATCCTAGTAGGACTTGTATTTCTCCATGCAGAGTCCTCCTAGGATTCATACTCTTAAGGATAATGCTTATCCTTTCACACCCTCCCCCACTGCTTAAACCAAGTGGGATGGTTCTCTTTATGGCCGAACTTCCATTTGACCGAAGTAAAAATGGCCATGCCGAGCCACAAAGTAGGCCGTACTAACAGTTGTTCGGTTCTTCTTCATGCTACACCATATCTCGGTTCTCTCATACACGAACCGTGGTGTGTTCGGACCGAACCAACGACTCGACCGGTATAACTCTCAAACCGGTATGCCTCTAAGGCCGGTATAACTTCAAGTTGCTCCCAAACCGAAGTTCATTTACAATCTTCTAACCGAAGTAACTCTACCCTTCGTGAGCCGAAGTAATTTTACCTCCTTGGGCCGAAGTAACCTTGTCTTCCCAAGGCCGGAGTAACTTTGCCCTTTTGGGCCGGAGTATCTATTGCGGCCTTCTTACTTAGTCCTTCGCGTTTTGGGCCTCAATGCCCAACTCGCAGCTCGGCCCAATTTTTCTCAAAAATTACCCTCTCAGTATCTAAGTATTACAAAATATTTGATGAATGTCATGTTGTTTTTTTAGAAGTTTTTGTACTTCTTACGTAGTGTATGATAACAAGGGAGGTGGAGGAGTTATAATAGTGCCAATGGCAATGATAGTAAAGTGACCGTGGTGGTAGCTAGAGGAGGGATACATGGGGTGGTGGCGGCTGCTGAGTAAATATTGTGTACTCACCAAGTATCCTGTGTATCAGTCAATAATATAGTTGAAAAACTTACTGATGAATGATGACTCATATAAAAGCAACCATACTTGGCCCTACTTTGCCTTGTTACTTACCTACTCCATAGGTTCAACTGGCCTAAACTTTTGAGTACGTTTGGTTTGGTATTAATCCGAACCGATTCATATGATCAATTCTCGGTTACCCTTAAGCTTGAATTTTGGTTTGGTTTGGTTTAGTTTGGTATTAACTTGAGTCAACAACGGCCTTCGTGAGGTGATATTCATCATTCAACATTTTTAAAAAAAATACAAAATGTAACAAATTGTTCTCCATGGTTATACAAATCGTTGTAGATCGTTGGTTTAGTTCAATAGTAAAATGAGTATGAAGTCATCAATGAAAATTAAATTGGAAGGTGATTGATTCAAACTATATATGATCCAAATTTCATAAAACTAAAAAAAAAGTTGTTATACAGTGATTGAACCTACACAATAAAAAGCAAGCGAACAAACAATAATGGAAATATTGTTACAAGGCACAAGCCGAATCAAATCTTCTGTCCCCACTTATTTTTGTCCCTCTGCTCCAAACTTATCTCTACTACAGGATCAAGTCAAAGAAATCAATCTTATAGTAGAAAAGATATTTGAAACGGGTGAGTAAGACAAAAGATTCTCAGCCGACATAAGCCCACTCTTCCACTTGTTCATTCTAGTAATAGCGAGCAACCAAACTCTCATTCACTTATTAACATGGACCAAACTCATGTGCCTTCCATTTCACAACCATGTGTTTGCCCCTCTTCAAGATGAAAATTGGGAAAGAGATGATCTTCTACTTTGTGGCTGCAAACACCGTTGGCCCTTCCACCTGAAATATTGTCACCCACCAAATTTATGTATTAGAATTATAAGGAATATACATGTGGTTCCAAGTTTTTTTTCTTTCATTGAAGTGACCTTGAGTTGGGACAATGTGTTGCCACAAAACATTTAATGAACAAAGTAAAACAAAACAATGAAAAGTCTAAAGCCATAATAACAAGGATACTTTCCCAAAACAGATTGGTTGATTGTGCTTCCATCTTTTGTGTTTTCAAAAGTAAAAATTAGGGGTGGGCGTGGGTAGGTTGCGACCACGGAATCTCCAATTTGCTATCCGTCCGTTAGATTAGTGGATTGGAAAAAATAATCCGCATCAGTCCGCCAATCTGGCGGATGTGGATTGAGCGGATTGGCGGTTTGGCGGTTTGGCGGATGGATGCAAATCGATTTGGCGGTTTAAAATTTTATAAATTTTCAACATAATTAAACTTGTGCACTTTTTCAAAAAAAAAAAGAAGAAAGTATTACAGTCAATGACTTAAAAAAATATTGCAATCACTGCATGCCTCATCCAAAGCAAAAAAGTTTGAAACTTTAGAATATCACAATCACTGCATACCTCATCCACATACTACAATCACAGCATGCCTCATCCATATAAAGTATTACAATCTGTGATTCTTAAAATATAAAAACAATTCAAACCACCAAAACCATGAACAGAGCAGTAGTAGAGATTATATGCCTCTGAATTGTTACATCTATATCTGTTTTTGAAAACAAAAACCAACTAGCATCTATATCTATATCTATTTTTGAAAACAAAAATCAACTAGCATATATCATATTTTCTATTTATTATTTTTAGAGATAGATTTAAAAATAAAAAAATATAGATAAATAATACGTTTATTTTTTTTAATTCAAAAAAAATATTCAAGTTGAAAACTTTTTTTCAACAGAATATTTAAACTCTTTTTTAATTAAAAACACAAACAGAATATTTAAACAAACTGAAAATACAAAATCTTATAAATTACTAAGGGTGCTCGTGGTTTGGCGGTTCGGTTGCGGCTAAAGGAATCTCAAATTCGCCATCCGTCCGTCAGATTGGCAGATTGGAGAAAATCAATCCGTAACCGTCCGCTCGTCATTACGCATCCGTCTTAAATGCGGCGGATCGGTTCGATTCGGTCGATTTTGGCGGATTGGTATATCCGCTGCTCACCCCCAGTAAAAACAAATGGAAGTCTGAACATACACATCATTTTTTTTAGTGCAATTTATTTTTTGGTGTTTTGTATAAAGACATTTTCTGAAACAATTCACCAAACAAATTTTGTGTTTTCTGAAAAATAAAATCAAAATACAAAAATGCAACTAAACATTATTATGTAGGGTATACCTAATTTTCCATAAAACGTAGCACAAAATGCAGCATCTATTCAATGGTGAGATTGACTTATGGTTGGGGGTTTGATATTATGTGATTCATCAGTGTAGAGGAATAGTATATATATATATGACTTTAAATTGCAATATTGATCCAAATTATTTGTACTTATAAATTAAAAATCATCAAGTTACCATGAATTTTGCACCCCAAATCTCTTCCTCGGTAGCAGGAACAGCAGTGATCTTATTCTTGGGATGCTCATAGCTTCTCAGCTCTCCAACAGCTGTGGAGTAGAAACATCCTGTAAAATGTAGTGTCACCATTGTCAAACAAGAGAATAAAGGGCCAAAAAACCACTTAAACCAATAGAATTAGTGGATTCACGTAGTTTTCAAGCTTTCCTTAGTCAAAAGTTTTGTTGAAATTTATTTTGTGGTTAGTGGGTTGAATTGAATCCCTCAATAAGAGCCAAAAGTTATCAATTTGGGTTGATTAAATTATTAAACTGACGGTCAGAAACATATGTGATATGTTATGCTTTAGTCTCCATCGTTTAATTTTTTTACCTTCTATATTTTTAGTTACTAGTTTTTGTGCCATTCAAAACCGATAAATAGAGTAGAGAGATGTGTGGATCTTCATAAAAAAAATGTAATAAAATCAGAAAATGGGGACAAAAATGTGTATACTTTGGCACCAAAATGCAACATAATGTATACTTTGAGGATTATGTGTATTTAATCCCTTTGATTTTGTTGAGACTTCATGCAAAATTTTGAAAACACATCTTTTCCCGTTGTTTATGTTGATCTTAAACAACGCTGATACCAAGGGCATATTTTGGGGACCAAAATGAAAAAAATTAAAAGATTAGAGACTAAAGTGTAATAAATCATTTACTTTAGAGACCATTAGAATAATAAACCTAATAATTTTGTAACAAGTAATGCTACACAAATAAAATAAAAAAAAATTATACAAAATTTTCATAGAAAATGATGTGGGGTTTGTGATCCATTCATTTCGAACTAAAACAATCACCATTGGAACACATAATATAAAAAAAAATATCACTGTAATATTATTCTAAACAAGATTTTGCATAAAAATTCTATTTTTAATTGTAAATCATTTTACTTTTGTAATAGTTCATTTGAACTAAAGCAAAAAGATGAGATTGAGCCAACCCACCTTGAGGGAAAGAAGCAAGTGACTTGCCACAAGCACCTTTACGCTGTGTTTGGTTGGGGGATTTGGGAAGGGAAATGGAAAGGGAAATGGAAATGAAAGGAAAAGGAGAAAGAATTAATAGAATTCCAAATCCCAACTATGTTTGGTTGTGTTGGTTATAAAATAGAATTGATGTCTTAAAAGGTTTCCTATTTCTTTATTTATTTCTCACCCCATTTCTTTTCCCATATATTTTTTATTATAACCAAACATAAATAGGATTACATTTCTCATTCCTTTTCCAAATCCCACCCCAAAAACCCCAACCAAACACAGCATTAAGCAAATCAGCATCATCAGCAAAAGCCACATACCCATCAGCAGTGATTCCCCAATACAGAGGCACTTTACCAAATTGATCCTGTGACATCATAATTACCACCAACCCAACTTTTGTCAAACTCCAACCAATTCAATAAAAGCTTCACCAAGGCAGTTAATAAAGCTATCAATACAAAAATTCAGTTACAAAATCAGACACATTTTTTTTAAAAGTAAATTCCACTTAATGAATTCTGTAAAATCTTTATCAATTTATGACTCTATTTTGTGCACCTTATCACTAGAACTGCTTATAGTTTTATTATTGTTAATAATAATTTTATTCCGAAAACAAAAAAGCAAAACAACCATTAAAAAGGTCATTTCCAAATCAGCTTTTAAAAGTAAAATGAGAAATATTTTTAATTTCTAATTTTTGATTATGGACTTCTAATTCAAGAAAAACTACATCAAACAAATTTATATATATTATGTGTTTAATTTTGTAATTGTGATTAATTTCTGTATTGGTATCAAAATTATTAGGTAGCGTGGGGGTGGTTGAGAATTTACTCACAGTGGCCACAAACAAGGTAGAGGTGGAGTTATCAAAGACAATGAAGGCAAAGTTGCCAAGAAGGTGGCCCACAACATGGTTAGGTGGATAAGGTGCCCTGTCACGAAGTGTCTTGTAAGCCTCAATCACTAAAACCTCCTCATTTGCTGACTTCCCTGGTAGTCCATACTGTTGCTTTAGGCTTCCCAAGTTGTCTAGTGCTCCTTCAAATAAGCAGAATATCTCATCCTTCACTCCAAATGATCTGCCACGTTTCCAAAACATAAATGATGCATCCCCTTAATTTGTGAATTTCAAAAAAACATTAATGATGTGAAAAATTAAAAAAAATAAAAAATAAAGACCAAAACATCACAACACATTGGATCCGCACACCAATTAAAGCTATTAAAACTCTTAATTTAGAACTCCTAATCTTTTTTCTTTCCAAAATATATATATATATAATATAAAATATTAATTTTTATTAAGTATAATGACAAAACAATTATTTTTCTATCAATTTTATTTATTTATTTTTTGAACAGAAAAAAAAAAAGATGTTCTGTTCAGACATAATAATATCCGTGGACCCTGCTCCCGAAATAATCGGTTGCCGCCCAGATTTAACGTAACACCCATCACTGAGGCCCCCAAGGGTACAGAGATAATCAATTATCGGTCAAATTCAACCTAATTCATAGAAAAAGAGCCACCATTGAGGCACCCAATAAATCTCATCCAGGCTTCAAGTATCGATCAGAATCCAGCGCTCATAATTTCACAGAGAGAGAGCGCGCTCCCAGGATTTGATCTTGATGCACTCTTGTGGAACGCACCCACGTGGCCACTACACCCGATGGTTGTCAATTTTATTTAACGGGAAAAAACAAATACTTCAGATTGAAAATAAATTTTAAAAAATTAAATTTAAATTAATAAAATTAAAAAATTATTTTGTTACAAAGATGTGAAATTTCTCAATTCATTTTGATATTATAAGTATTCTCCTACTAATTAATAAATAAATAAATAAATAAATAAACAAAATCACAATCCAAATTGTAGATGACATTGCATGATAAAAGTGGACCAATAGCACTCCCTCGATGCAATGAAAGCAGACAAAAAACGAAATCAACATGATTGCAAAATCAAGTCCGACGCCTCCATTTTCTCGGAAACCAAACGTAATTTTTTTTGATCGATTTTGGAAAAACCTTCAAATCGACCAAGATCATGTTAATCAAAACTCGCAGTTTCAAAAAATATTCATGAAATAATCAGTCAACTATTAGAAGCATCAAAGAAAATTCCCCAAACCACGAGTGATCAAATTTTTTAAAACTTATTATATATATATATATATATCAGTTATACCTGGGGTGTAAAGGAGACTGGTTATGGTGAGTGTAGGCCAATTGGACATGATCTCCGACCTGTGTCGACACCGCCGATGGGTTACCGGCGAGAAACCGCTTCACCAGCGCCGCCGCCGTGATCTTCGGAGACGGAGTCCTGCATCCCGCCGCCACCAGCTCCTCCGGCGGCTCTACGATCGAGCTACTAAATACACCTAACATGGCCACTCTCTCTCTCTCTACACCACTCTCTCTAGAAAATTGGGGACTCGGACATGGAAGAAGAACTGGTGACGGCCATTGCCATTTATAGGAACCAGAGTGGAAGACGAGCGAGGGTATTATCGTCATTTGAGATGACTTATTTTATTTTGTTTATTAATTAAAAGGATTTATTATACTTTATATCAGCAAATTATTGCTAAATAATCTATAGTTTTTGAACTATCCATCCAGATTACTCAGTTCCTAAATATATAAATCAAAATTTATTTAGTGCATAAATTATTCGTTGAATTTATTAAATTCTTAAAATATAAGTTTTTGAAATTATTACAAAAAAATAAAAAATAAATTAAATTAAACCCATAAGGATTATAAATTAATAAAAGAATCTATCTAATTATAATTTTATTAGAAAAAAAATTTAAAATTTTATTTTCTCTTTAAAAAGTGGTGTTTTATTTAATTGTTTTAAATTAATATTAGAATCTAATTTTTCAATCTTGTTAATAAAATTATAATAAGTATTAAATATATTGAAGAAGTAGAATTAGATAATTTAAATAATAACACTTTGTTATAAATAATAATAAAATAAAATAATACATTAATTAGGTTATGAAAAGAATTTAACAAAAAAAAATTAATAATAATCGATTAGAAATTATAAATGAAATTTAACATGTTAGAAAGGCAATCACGTAGTCATTGTTGATAGATAAATAAAAAGAAATACTATAAATAATTACTATTACCTTTATAAAGTAAATTCACTGTAAGAACTCACATTCACTTTTAAAGACATAATAAAAATTTAAGGTTTTATAAAATAAAATTTTAAATAAATTAAGTCTTTTATTAATTTATAATACTTATAAATTTATATTTCATTTTTGCAATTTTTTAGGGCTAAATAAATTTAAAATTTAATAAATTTAATCGATAATTTAAGAATTAAATAAACTTTCATTCATATTATAGATATTCAGTAAATTCAATTGATAATTCTGATACTAAGTAAATAATTTATCGATAATTTAAGAATAATAAATTCTACTCCTTCCATTTCATTTTGTTGATTCATTATTTTATTTTGAGATATTTCAAAATGATAATTCTATTTAAAAGGTCCAAGTAAAAAAATTTTAATTTTTTAAAATTATAAATATATTAAAATTTTAAAAAGATAGAAACATTAATAAAAAAATATTTTAAAATTAAAATTTAAATTTAAATGATCGTATGGAAATTTTTTATTGGTTAAAAAAAAAATTATTATTATTATTTTTTTTTTTTGTGATTTGAACGAATGGGGGCTACCATCTCACTGGGGTCGACCCCAGTGGGGTCCGTAGCAAAGTTGTTAAAATAATCAACAATGATTGGTCTCACTAAAAATATCATTACTAATAGCACTAATGCATTAAAAAAAAAATACAACTACAAAATTAAAATATCACATCATTAATGGCGAGACCCACTGTCACCTAATTAGTGGGAGCACTAATTAGTGCTCCCAAACATTTTTCTAAAACAATTTAAAGAATCTATTTTTTTATCCAATGAAGTACACGGAGGCATGTGGGGTTGGGACCCACGTAGAGGCGATGATTCCTGCGTGTCGTTTAGTGCCTCTGGGTTCCACATGGGGCCTCACAGGAACACGCCGACGCAGGAAATTTATCGAGTGCTTTCTTATTCACTAACACTCATTCAGGTGAACCGGAGATATTGTGCCACGTCAATAAGCAAATGGTCACTTTTTTAAATATATATATATATATACATATATAAATAAATAAATAATGTGATCTTAAAAAATATGCTAATATAGGGGCCATTTGGGAACATAGGTTAAGAGTTAAAAGTTAATTTTTAATTCATTTTGAATCGTATCACTTCTTATATAAAACAGTAAAACAAGTTTTAAAAAGTGAAAAAAAATTAACATTTAATCATTTTCTCAAAGCATTCCACAATTCTTCCCAAACAATCCTTAAGTCTTACTTTCCAAAAAATAGAATTTGAATGGCACAACAAACAAATAAATAAATTAACTTGTGATCTTCCACAACCAATTCCAGTCACCTTCCATGTGATCATCCCATTCGCTTACTTTTTATTATTATTGATCACCACTTTGACAACTCACAAAATATGCTTCTTTATTTTTGTTTATTTTTTAAATATTTTTTTATAATTAAATAAGTTATATATTATTTGAAAACAAAAACAAAAACAAAAAAAGAAAAAGAAAATTAACCACGTTAACAAATAGAAAAATGTTTGAAGGTCGCAATTTTTGTGGCTCAAATGGCTCGAAATTGTCATACTCAAAACGACTTTGTTTTAACAATTTCAAGTCATTTGAGTCACAAAAATTGTGACCCTCAACCATTGCTGTAACAAATAAGCCCTAAATTTCTCATAATCAATGAATTGGATTAACTTAATTAACTAGTTTTGTGCAATAAGGATCAATCTTTATCATAGACAAAGATTGATTATTTAATTATTATGTATTCTTAAAATATTATGTTTACATGATAGTCCAAATCAATGATATATTATTATTGAATGGTTGAAAGATGAGAAATAACTCATTTAATGTGAGTTATAATTTCTTATTTATCAAGGATATCAGCGGTGTATAATACTTCCAAATAGTTTAATAATTTTTCATGTCAGAGGATCAAATTATTCTTTCATTCTTTTTTTTTTATTGTGAACTGTTCTTGGAGTGGTTGTTAGTTTCTGCAATCCTCTATCCCATTAGTTAAAAAACGCACACATAGTCACACACCTCTTTTTTTTTTTTTTTTAGGGATTTATTACACTTTTTATTCCTAAACTATCATTAAATTATTTACTTAATCCCTGAACTATAAGTTGAGTCTATTTAATCCCTAAAATATATAAATTAAAATCTATTTAGTTCTTAAACTATCGATTAAATTTATTAAATCCATAAAGTATTTAATTTGAACTTATTATTTAGTCTCAGAAAGGATTATTATAAAAATAAGATATATGTCTATAAGTATTATAAATTAATAAAATACCTTATCTAGTTGAAATTTTGTTTCAAAAAAACTTAAGTTTTTATTCTGTATTCGAAAAGTGAACATCAATCTTTTGATGAATTTTCTTTATAAGAGTAAAAGTAATTATCAATAGTATTTTATTACTTATCTTCTACAATAGCTACTTGCTTGTCTTTATTTATTATTATATATCAAATTTTGTTTATAATTTTTAAATTGATTGTTTTTAATTTTTTTTGTTAAATTCTTTTTATAAATGTATTTTTTTGTTCTATTATAATTTGTAGTGCAAGATTATTATTTAAATTATTTAATTCTACTTTTTCAGTAAGTCTAATTCTCGTATAATGTTATTGGGAAGATAAAATACTTTTGAAAGACAAAATAGAAATTTAAAATTTTTTTAAAATAAAATCTTAAGAATCTTTTATTAATTTATAATACTTATGGGTATATATTTTATTTTTATAACTTTTTCAGGAATTAAATAAGTTTGAATTAAATATTTTAAAAATTTAATAAAAAATTTAGAGATTAAATATATTTTAATTTATATAAATAAACTCAATTAATAATTTAATAATTAAATAGATATTTTAACGATAATTTAGGGGTATAAACATTAAATTGTCTCATTAAAGAAATCTAACATAAAAGACGGCTGCAGAAATCTAACACCCAAAACCATGGATGGACCCAAGTTTTGTGCGTTCTATAATGTAAAGTGATATTATTATAAAGTAATATTATAATTTTTTTTGGGCTGAACTTTCCTTCCATTCGTGATCGGATTGGAAGGTACTATTAGGTTTGTGGAATTTACTAAGGGTCTCGTTTTAATAATTTGAACTATTTAATGTGTAGAACTTGTCGAGTACTATTTGTTTGTAAAAAATCACGTTGATCGGATATCAATAGCTATCTCATCGGATAAGATTTCTGTCAACTGTTTATTTTTTTACTATTCATTTTTTTTATACAAAACTATTTGATCACGTAGATATCGATATTCGATCAACGTAATTTTTTATAAATATATAATATTCGACGAGTTATACATATTGAACCGTCCAAATTGTCAATACATGACTCATGACAAGTCTCCACAAATTTAATAATATTTTCAATCTGATCAGGGATCAAAAAGAAGTCAACCTTTTTTTTTAACCTTAGTGCCTTTCCTAGTCATCCGAAAGCAAAATAATAATTATTTTTTCTTTCATTTGAAGAAGAGATGCATGAGTTGATAAGATTCCTTTAAGAAAGTTTCATAACACACCAATCATATCTATGTATCTATATCAACATCTATATATATAAGAATCACTTACCTATACATGATTTATCCTTTTTATTTTTATTTTATTCTTTTATTTTAAAAAATTTATTAATAGTAACCTATATATTGAGTAAATTTTTTTCATAATTATACAAATATTTTTAATCAATTATGAAACAGATTTTTTCATAATTACGCAAATATTCTTGGTTAATTATGAAACATGTTTTTTTCATAATTATGCAAACATTTTTAATTAATTATAAAACATAAATTTTTTATTTTTTAACAAATTACAAATACACCTATAAAGTTTGTTTAAAATATGAATCGGTCTTATACTATTAGAAATTATAACTATCATTTGTTATAAATTCTAATTTAACACAATACTCAGGAAAAACTATTCTCCTATGCAATAATAAATTATCAAAATTATTTATTGAAAATTATTTCTCATATCATTAAAAATTGTTAATTGACTTAATCATTTATAAAAAATTTATCTATAAATCCCATCTTCAGAAATTGTGATCCATTTAGTCCTAAGGATTTTTTTATAAACCAGTTAATCCCACTGATTTTGAAAAAGTAGATTTAATATATTATTTAAAAATTAGATTTACGATGATACCTTTATTTCTATTATGTTGCTTCTTTTTTTTTTCTTTTGTGCTACAAAGGTAGGTACACAATATATGTGAATTAAATTTGGGATGAATTTTTATATAATTTTATTTATTTGGAAAA